TTTTTTTTTTTTTTTTTTTTTTTTTTTTTTCGGAATAACCATAAAACATCGAGTTCGAGTGATATTGAATACGGCTAATAAATTTCACAGCGCGTGTATTCCCTTTCGAAATTGTCGAATAGTCGAATAAAATATAATCTCCTTAATGACCGATGTTCTTTAATCCATTTAGAAACTGACAACGAAGCAATTTGAAAATCCGCTTACGAACAATGCTATTATTTTTATTTTTATCCCACTATTTCGTATTTTTGCGGTGATATCTCTCTCGCGCAATTATAAAATATACTCTTTGTCATTTCTATGTTAATTACTCAGTCACCGAGATGACTTTCCTGTCGTTCCACTTGCTTCGTCGAGTCAAGATTCATTTCAAGAGTTTGCCGAATTAATCAAGATAATGAATTCGCGATGAAATTCGAAAAATAATTATTACCATCCGTGTAATAAAGTGATTTATCTTAAAAAAATTATCTACATTCGAGATTGGATTTCAATTTGGATTTAATCTTTTAAATCCGTTCTATTAAACGGAATATATTCTTTATTACACGTTTGCATTCTTTTTATTTTCTCGGAATGAGAACATTTTTATAGTTTAACTAGAAATTTCTCTTAGCACAATTTTTTTTCTTTCCCTTTTTTTCTTTTCTTTTACTGTTTTAATTTCTAAATACTTCAATGAAATACACTATCTTTCGTTAGAATTGAAAAAAGAGTAAAGGAATCAAATGGAAAATGGAAGGTACACGTAAGATAAAGTTAATCCTCTTTCGTAGAACAATGGTGCCCAACAACTCGCTTCCGAAGCGACCGTCTATATCGTCCTGGAGGATGTTAACGACGAAATACCTTTGTTCACCGAACGTGAGCAAGAAACTGTACTCGAGGGTGAACCGGTTGGTAGTAAAGTTACTCAAGTCAACGCGATTGATAAGGATGGCACTTTTCCGAACAATCAGGTGAGTTAACATCGTTGGTTTATTGTTATCGTATATATTGTATGTATTGTACGATATAATAATGCGACTTTTTCTTTCATTTTTTAAAATACTAAATATTTTACCATAATTTTAAAACAAATTTAATAAGCAAAAGTTTTATATTTTATTTTTTTCATTCAAAAACTCATTCAATTAGTTATTATATTTTATACGTATTTTAATACGTAGGCATTGAAAATTTTATTTTTTTTTTTTTTTTTGAAAAAGAAATTAATATTTTAAATTCCAAATAAAAGTAAAATTTTTACGCGGTAAATTAGAGAATTTTATTTTCTTTCTTTTTTTTTTTTTTAAATCTTTTGTTTTCAATTTTATTTTTTTCCACATATTGTACGGAATAGCAAGAATTGGTGATATATTTTACGGAACAATGATACACGAGAAAGTTAATTTTAATTTTACATTCATCGGCAAATTTCGGTCACCAAATCGATTATATTCAATTATTAACAAACTTCGATGGCCAGTTTTCGGATTATGTTTAATTATACGCTTTGTCTGTTGCATGCTTTGTGCGAATCTGTATACAATATTCAATCGTTAATGCATTAATTACTCAGATACACGATTACTTTAAAATTATTAATTCCTTTACGATTATTTGGAAGAAAATAATTTATTGAATTTTTACGTTATTATCGTAATATTTATGCAATTCATCTTTTGCGAATGTTATTAATATTCCTACTAATGTACAAACAAAAATTAACGTGAAATCAAAGAAATGTAAATCTTTACGTACTTTATATCACGACAATCATTGAAATCACGCGAGATCACGAATAAACTTTTTACTTTGCGTGATCAAAACCTATTCAAGAAATGAATGGAGGAAATCGTGCCATTGAAATTATTTTTTGTTTTATATCGATATCTCGATCAGTTGCCGGGATTATGAAGGATTCAAAGTAGATTTAAGGCGTTGCACGATCTATGAATGAAACTCAATGACCTACTTTTTTCCTGGATACACGTACTACGCTGTTTCAGGAATCGCGTTTGTAATTTGTCTAGACTTTGGGAGTAGTCAATGAAACGAGATGCAAGTGAAA